GGGGGGGCTCCCTCCCCGGCTGGGGGTGCCCGGAGACGCGCGGAGGGTGGAGGCTGGGGGGGCGCCCGGAGACGGGCGGCGGGGAGGGAGGAGGCGCGGAGGCTCGGGCAGGGGGACAGAGGGACGCAGGATGGGAGACCTGGGGACGCGGGGGAGGGAGGAGGCTGGGGGGCGCGGAGGCAGGAGGGGGCCCCGCGACGCGGGCGAGGCCAGGGCGGCACACGCGGGGGTGGGCACCGTGGCGCGCAGGAGGAATACGAACGCGCGCGCAGGGGGGCCCGGAGGCGCGCGGGGGGCCACGCGCACGGGGCTCGGGCCTGGCACGCGGCCCGCACACGCAGGTTTCGGGGGCGGATCGGGGTCCGGCCCCGCGCCCGTGGGGCGGCGCCCGCGCGGGGGGCGGGGGTGTTTTGCACCGGCCGCCCCCGCTGGGCCACGCCGCGACGACCCGGGAGGAGGAGGCGGCCGCCCCCGCAGGGAGTGCACCGCGCCGGGCGTTTGGGGCGGCGCGGCGGCGCCGGGCACCCGGGGACCGTCACCCCCCCAAGCCGCGCCATCTTGCACGGCTGCGGCGCCCGCTGCAGGGGGGCCCGTGGGGCGCGGGGCGGGGTGAGGGGGCTGCGGCCAACGTCCCTCCTCCCTGTGGAGCCGGCGGAGCTGCAGGGGAGCGGGCAGCTGGGTTTTATGTAACTCGGATCGCGCTGGTTCATGCGTCCATTCATTCCGCGGAGCAGCACAGCTCCTGGGCAGGGCCGCTGGGGGCAGCGGTGCTGTGGAGGGCGGGAGGGGCGCTTGCCCCCAGCAGGGCCGGCGGGGCTCTGGGGAGAGCACGGGTGGGTCAGGGACCCCGCAGAGCCGTCGGCCCCTTAGGGGGAGGGTGTCAGAACGTGACCTTGTCCTTCTAAGAGGGCCTCTTGTGTAGAAAGGACCTGAAGGCCAGAGGAATGGTCCCATGGGGTTCCTGAAGGGGCAGCCCCACCCCACCAGGGGCCTGTGGAGGGTCAGGGGATCCAGAACCTTCTTTCCGGCCCTAATGGTGTGAAGTTGCTCTAAGCAGCTTTGGCCCCCAGGCCCAGGTGGGGGTTGGTGAAGGAGCCACAGGTGGAGTGGCCAGTAGAGGCCTGGTCAGCGGCAAATGCTCAGACCCCGGGGGCTTGGAAGGCAGGAGGCCGCCGAGGGTGGAGTGGCTGAGGGCTGTGATCTGGCCTGTCCCCGCAGTCAGGGACCTCTGCTTCCTGCCTGAGCAGGTGCCCCACGTACCTGGACCCCAACCAATCCGGGGGCGCCCCTTGGGGACAGGCAGGGGAGATGTCCAGTAGCCCTAAGTAGCCTCTGTCCAGAGCCTCTGTACCACTGTGGCTGGCCTCAGTGACCAGGGTCAGAAGACAGTCCTCCACGCCAGTTCCCCTGTGAACACGTGTGTGTGTGCACACCCCCAGCACTCAGGGGCCCCTGTAGCAGAAGCCTCGGGCCGAGGATGGGCCGATCTCAGAGCTCTGGGGCTCTGGACCATCGTCTGGGCTCCAGGCAGGGCAGGGGAAGACCCCAGGGGCCCCAGGTGCAACAATCCCACCCATCCGACCTTACTGACTCCCCTTCCCACCCCACCCCGCCCCCGGGGAACCAGGATTCTCTGAGGTTTTCCTGGAACCCGGAGCCCTGCTGCTCCCTGGGCATGGTGACCGTTGAACTAGAGATGTCCCAGATCCCCGCCACCATTAGTCTGTTCCTTGGGTTAGGGCTCCCACGTGAGGCCAGGCAGCAAGCACTCTCTGCCATCCATCTGTCCTGTGGGGCAGGAAGGCGGGCGCTGGAATGCAGGGGGGGTCTGTGTGCCTGCTTCCCTTCCTGCAGGCAGAGGCAGGAAGTGCTGTGCTCCCGGGGGCTCCAAGCCCAAGGCCTGCAGGTCCACAGGAGCCTGCCCCACACTGGGATGATGAAGCCAACTGGGCAGGACCAGGCTCTTCGACCCCGTGGTGGGCACAGCGGAGCTACTCGGGGCCGGCCAGGCTGCCGCGGACTCTTCCCTTGGCCTCTGGGCTGGAGGTCCAGGCCCTCGAGCTCTGAGAAATGACAGGACAGGAAAAGACCCGCACACCAGCAGGAAAAAGCACTACTATGAGCAGGTCCTGAGTTCCAGGACCTTGCTTGTCCAGCGGCAGGGGCGGGGCGGTGAGAGAGGCCGATCCCACTGCACAGGGCAAGTGGGGGGAAGGGGGGCAGGGGTGGACCTGCCAATCTGGGGGTGACCGGTGGCCAGCCCACCCCAAGTTTCCCGCAGGGGCGACTTCTGCCGATCCTGGGATGGCCAAAGAGTCCTGAAAATGTGCCCCACTCCTTCCCCGGACCTGTGGGGAGGCAGGAGGCTCCAGAGCCCTCCGCAGCCACAGCAGGGGCTGAGCCCCATAAAGGGGGCTGCAGGGGTACCACAAGCCTGAGTAACCACTGGCTGAGGGGCTGGCCTGTCCCGAGGGGCTTATACCACAGAGGCCAGGCCGGCTTTGCTAGCACAGGGCAGCGTGGGCCCTAGGCCCACGGAGACCGAGGTCAGAGGTGAGATGCCCCAGGCCTCTGGTCACAGAGACCTCCAGGACACTCAGTGTCCAGCACGAGTCCTGCCTGACCATGCTTAGGATGGCGGAGGGAGGGCACCCATCCCTGGAAGGTTCTGCAGGGGTGGGCCTGGCCGGGAAGGGGGTCCACAGAGGGAGTTCGGGGCCAGAGAAGATGCAGGGAAGGGGAGGTGACTCACATGCAGGAGGGGCGTGCGGCCAGGGAGGGTGACAAGATTGAGGCGCCCAGGGGACCCCCGGGAGCTCGGGGGTCGTGTCCGTCAGCGGTGAGTGGGCACGAGAAGTGGGGAGACATTGTGGAGTGTCACCAAAGCACTGACTGGGGCGGGGGCGGCCGTGCTCTGGGAGAGAAGCCAAGTGAGGGACCCCGTGTCCCCAACCATAGGGACACGGTGGGGTTGAGCAGCGCCTGCCGAAGGGGTGGGTCGGGTCTTCCGGAAGACGCTTCCCCCGCAGGGCAGGTGGAGCAGGGCTCGAAGCTGGGTCAGCCCCTGGGTGAGGCCCCTGCTTGTTCATGTTTTCTGTTTGATTCGGGCTTTATTCAAAGTGTCGTTTCCCATTCCGCATATTTCTCTTTTTTAACTGAGGTGAAATTCGTATAACATAAAACCCTTTTCTTAAAAGATTTTATTTATTTGTCAGAGAGAGAGACAGAGCACAAGCAGGGAGAGCGGCAGAGGGGGAAGCAGGCTCCTCGCTGAGCAGAGAGCCCGATGCGGGGCTCGACCCCAGGACCCTGAGATCATGACCTGAGCCGAAGGCAGAGGCTTCACTGACTGAACCCCCAGGCGCCTCCCAACAAGCCGTTGTTTTCAAACATGAACAACTCAGTGGCATTTAGCACATTCAGAATGTGCAACCCACCCCTCACTCAGTTCCAGAACATTCTCCCCACTCCAACCCCCATCCCGCTCAACCTGAGTTCCTTACTCCTTCCCCTCGGCAACCAGCGACCCGCTTTCGGACCGTGTGGATTTGCCGACTCTGGATGTCGCACACACGGGACCAGGTGCTGTGTGGCCCTCTGTGACCGGCGTCTTCCCTCGCTGGGAGGTGTCGAGGGTCCTCTGTCGTTCATTCCTGTGGGGCAGAGCGGCCTCCCGCTGCAGGGACGGCGCGTCGAGGGGCGCTCCGTGCTGCCCCCTGCGGGCCTCGGGGGGCGTGCGGACGGCTGTGCTGGCGAGCGTCTTGGGGGGCAGAGTGTGTAACCCTCCGCCGCCGGTCCCAGTCGTCCCGGTCTTGTGAACTCGGCCCAGGAGACGTTCCCCTGGACGGAGACACACACTGAAATAGCATCTCTACAAGCAAAACGCTGGGATCTGTTCGGACTCCACCGCAGATGGCCGTTGGACGTTTCTGGCCGTCCGCAGCTCAGGGACCTCACACGAAGCTGGGACACAAGGTAGCGCCCGGAACGTTCTGTGAATTTCCCAGTGATGTGTGAGCGACTCTCCCACGGGGAAGGCAGGCCTCAGGGCCGCGTCCACACTGTGCAAAACGACCAGGGAAACCCGCACAGAGAAAGCGGTGGTCGGGTGCTGGGAAGGGCTGCGCCCTGGGGTCTCTGCGCTGGTGCTGGTCCATGGCTCCGTGCGTGAAGATCAGTGGACGTGAGGGGCCTCCAGCCAGCCCAGAGCCAGGAGGGGCTCTCAGGGTGCGTCCGTCTCTGTCTCCCCGTTCTCAGCCTGGCGGCTGTCCTGCGAGGTCCCTTCCCAGCAGAGAGGCCAGCCCTGGCTGAGGTCACACAGCGCTGCTCCCCTGACTGCAGAAGTCAGCGTGGCCTCACGGGTTTCCCTCCTCTCCCCTCACCTTTATGGCCGGCCCTGACACGGCTCTCCAGCCCCCCACAGTGACCCAGGGACGAAGGACAGCTCCCCGGCCCGGATGCTTGCTGGAGGAGGTCCCATTGTCCAGTGGCTTCTGGCGGTTTCTCGGACATGCTGGCCAGCCTGCACCCCCTGGGTGACCCTGGCAGGCCTCTGCCAGCCCCTCTCTGGGCCCAGCACACCCCCGCCACTTTATAAGGCCAGAGGGCAGGAGGGTACCTGTTCAGTAGACAGAAACTTCTCCTGCTGCCCGGTGCAGTCCACTCTCTCCACCCCCGCCCTGGGCTTGGGGAGGCCGGGCGCTGCGGGCGGTCAGTCTGCCGGCCCAGCGTGGATGTGCCAAGTGCCAGCGAGCCCCTGGGGGCCCCAAGTGCCAGGCCGGAGTGCCTGGGAGGGGCAGGGGCGGGGAGGACAGGTGCAGCCAAGCTGTAAATAGGCCTAGTGGCTACAGGTATAAAAGCGGGGGCCCCCACAGGCTCTGAGCACCCCCAGCCCGACCTGCCTCCTCAGAACCCTCGAGGGAAGCCAGGCGGAGGTGAGCCCTGCCCCGGGAGGAGTGGTTATGGGCTCTGGGCCCAGACAGGGCTGCCCACGCTGTACGGCCAAAGCCTGCGGCCTCCTTCTCATCCATAGGACACTCGGAGGCCCAAAGGACTGAGGAGACCCCAGGGAGGTCCAGGGGAGGCAGGAAAGGGAGGGGCGGCCCAAGGGAGCCCCAGACTTAGAGGCAGCTGTGTGTGCCTGGGTCTGCCGGGGTGAGCACGAGGGCGCATGTGTGCTTACATGGGCCCCTGAGAGAGTGCTAGGAGTTGGGGAGCAGGGTGGGAGGGAGGCTGAGACTTGCTCACTGACCACAGGGCCCCAGGTGCTGAGTGGGGGGCCAGGGAGCTTGGCAGGGTAGAGGGCCTAAGGCCAACAGACCCACCAACTCCGGCAGGCACACGAAGTCCGCTCAGGACCCTCTGGGACCCAGTCCCCATCCCATGAGGTCCCCGTCTCTGCCCCATCCACCTGCCAGCCCACCCTGGGACTCAGGCCCCAACTGCTGGGGCCCTGGCTCAATGACCCTACCCCCACCCTCCAGCCCATGCAGCATTTTTTCTCATGTCAGCGTTGATGACTCACTGGCAGAGGCGAGGAGCAGTACACAGCCCCCAGGAGGGCCACGCAGGTGGTCCATAGGGGTCTGGGGTGGGCCGAGGTCCCTGGCAGCCTTGGGAGGGCATTCAGGGCACAGCAATGCTGGGGACAGGTGGGGGGTCCTAGCCAGGCTTTCGAGCTCAGTCCTGCTTTGGCTGTGGAAGGCAGTGAGCTGGGAGGCAGAGAGGGGTCCTGTCCGAGGCGAAGGACGATGTGGGAGAGCCAGGAGGCCGGGCAGAGGGCCACAGGGAACCGCAGGGCGCCGCAGGGCTGGCTGGGGGTGGTGCCTGCCATTCCCACCCCTGGCTGTGGCGGGACATGTCGGCTTACCTCTGGGGGTGAGTGAGACACCATCCCAGGGCCTGGATTGGGGCTATAAATAAACGGCCAGCACACTGAGGCCCCAGGCCCTGTCCCCACGCCAGCTCTGATCTCAGGCTCCTCTGCCTTCCTGTGGGGGGTACCCCGGAGCGCAGTGGGGTGGGACTGGTGGGAACAGACACAGCCCAGGGAACCCAGCGTGCTCTGCAGACAGGAAGTCGACCCCAGTTTCAGCCAGACCTGGCCTGGGATGTGGCCCAGCCCCTCCTTCACGAAGCGTGGGACACTGATTCCGGCCGGGCCCAAGGGGCAGGCGGGGCAGCCCCTGCTTCCAGAATGGAGTTCTGAGGTTCGGGGATGGGAAGGGCGAACAGGGGCTCTGCTCAAGCCCTGTCCTGTGGGCCTCTATGGCCCAGGTCGGCCCTGGCTCGCGGTTGACCACCCCCACCCCACCTCCCAGGACCCGCCGTTCAGGCACGATGTGCAGGGGACCCAGCTCCAGGCCTCTTTCAGGCCATAAAGCCCTTTCCCCGGGATCTCTCTTCTCTCCTGGCTCCTCCCAAGGCCCTGAGAAGGGGCACGATGGGCAGGGGTCTATTTCACAGATGCTGACCCTGAGGCCCAGAACAGCTGTGGGGCACGGCCAGAGTCAGGAAGGAGGTCGCGGTCCTGGGCCTCTACCCAGCGCTCCCTGCATCCCCGGGCTGTCAGGTTGGAGCTGCCACCTTTGACCTGTGGCTTCTCTTTTGGGAGAAAGTGAACTCCCCCAGCCACTGTCCAGCCCCACTCAGGATGCACGGGCCACTGGGCTGCCCTTCCTGGCCATGGGGGTATGTTCCAGAAGGTTCTGCCACCCCATGAACTTTCGAGAGGGCCAAGGAGCTTCTGAAATCGCTGATTTGCCACAAGCCCCAGAACACAACCCCACCCCGGGGACCGCAACCCGAGAGCCCGGCGGGTCACAAGGCACCGCCTTGAGGGCCACAGGACAGCCTGGTCCCCACCTGCTGGCCCCTGAGCCTGCGACCAGTCCCCCACCTGCCTGGCTGGAGTCCTGGCCTGCCCCGGTGGCCCCTGCTTGCCACCGACTCTCCTCGAAACGACAGTGACACGCACACGTCCACGGGGCCTGTGGGCAGAGTCTGGGGAAGGGGCAGTGGCCCTCCTGGCTCAGAGCATCCGGGCATTGCTCAATCCCAAGCCAATGCACCACGGGTGGCCAGTGGCCAGCTGGGAGGCCCAAGTCTGGCCGGTCCGGATTCTGGGAGAACAAGGCCCTGGCTGCGGGCCCTGAGTCAGGGTGGAAGGAGGTGGGGCTCCCAGAGGACGTGGCTATGAGATCGGCCTGCAAGGACAGAGGGAAGTTCCTGGCAGCGTTGATGGGTCGGACGGCGGCCACCACAGCTTCCAAGCAGAGCGAAGGACCCCGTGCTCGTCACCAGCTCTCTGGGGGCCTCAGCCTTTTCTGTGAGACGGAAGTGACCTTCCGAGCGTACAGCCAGCCAAGAGGGGGTTCTTGCGCACATCTCCCTCCAGGGCCCTGGACACCAGAGTCTCTGCACGGCTGCATGCCCCAAGGGCTTCTGCAGCCTGGGATGGGGGACCCTGCTCAGGACGCAGGGGCTGGTGCCATGCGGGGACTCTGTCTGCTTTGGTCTGAGCAGAGCGCCCTCACCCCACCCGTGTGCACACTCCAAGCTGCTCCCTGTCCACCACAGGGCCAGGATGGATGAGGACTTCTCCTCTCAGATGAAGAAGATGGCCTTGGCTATGGGCACGTCCCTGTCGGACAAGGACATAGAGCTGCTGCCCACGGACATGAGGCATCACGGTATGCACACCTCGTCGCCAGCCTGGCCTCCCCGCCCCAGGCCCGTGGGCCCCAGAGTCCATCTGCGGGCTGCCCCTTCCCTGGGCTGAGCGGCCCGGGGACACACAGGGTCGGGGAGGGGGAAGAGCAGCCACGAGCCTCCCTCGGGCCCCTGTGACCTGGGCCTGGCTGTCCCAGGCTCCTTCAACTACCTCAAGTTCCTGGAGTACATGCAGAAGTTCCAGGCCTCAGGGCAGCTGGACAGCGCCATCCACCAGGCCTTCCAGACCCTGGACAAGGACAAGAGTGGCTTCATCGAGTGGAACGAGATCAAGTAATGGCCAATGGCTGGGGATCGGGGTTCTGACCCCAGGCCCGGGGCCCAGTCCACCATGCCCATGCCCACCCCAGCGAAGACCTGGCACCCCCCCCTCAGGAGACCCCAGCGGGCCTTGGGGGAGGTGGGGGTGGCCAAAACAGTCTAGGTCCATAGCACCGGCGCCAGGCCCAGAGACCCCTCTCCAGCTGGGCCTCAGTTTCCCTACTTGTAAAATGGGGAGTGAGCATCTTGCAAACCACTGGGCACCAGGCAGACACCCCCTCGGCTCTAACCTGAGCCCACCCCCGCCACAGGTACATCCTCTCCACCATTCCCAGCAGCGGGCCCACCGCCCCGCTGACAGATGAGGAGGCTGAGGCCATGATCCAGGCGGCCGACACAGACGGGGATGGGAGGATTGACTTCGAAGGTGGGTCAGCACAGACAACGGGGCTGGAGGGACCTTGCAGGACCTTCCTGGCCCGCCCCTCCGGGACCCCACAAAACCGTTCAGTGCCCATCTGGGCACAACACTGTGTAGGCTCCCCCACCCCGGGCACGAAGTTCCCAGCCATCTTCGCTGGGCACCACCCCCCACCATGGACAGGAAAGTGTTGGGGGTGCTGAGTGGGTGGAGGGAAGCCACTGCGTGCTGCTCAGTGGGGGAGAGGCAGGCTGAGATGGCCATGGGGAGGCTTAGCTGGACAGGGGCAGGGGTCCAAGACACCCCAGATGGGAGTGGTCTGAGGTAGGGAGGGAGGTTTGAAGATAGGAACCGGGGACTGAGGCCCCCCATGGCTCTAGACCGTGGGGTCTGGTCATCTCACAGCGCCCCCTCCCCAGTTGCTGGCCCTGGGCCAGAAGGCAGAGGGCATCAGGGTGGCCCTGGCTCAGGGGATGGCCTGGGACTCAGCCCCCCAGCCTCTCTGTGGCTCAGTTTCCCCCACTAAGAAAGGCAGGATGATCTCAGGAGCTCTGAAAAGAATTCCTGAGGGTCACTGCAGAGACCCAGTCTATCCATAAGCCCCCAAAGGGGGTTGCCTCATCTCCACCAAGAGGGCCATTGAGGGGGGCACAGGGCCCCCAGCTCTGGTCGATCCTGCTCCCTAGGGTCCAGGAGGGCAGGATGCACGGTCCTCTATGCCAGGAAGCCCCCTCATAGAGTGGGGCATGCCTCCCCATTGGGTCTGCAGGGCTTGGAGGACACACGGCAAGGGGACTATTTACTAGAAATCTGTTTCCTATTCTAGAATTTTCTGAATTGATCAAAAAGGAGAAAGTTCCAAAGAAGAAGTAGTGTACGGCCAGCCCCTGGCCAGGGGAGGGGGCCCCATGGGGCATCGTGGGACATCTGCATGGCCGACCAAGGAGGCCATGGGGTGGACACAGCACGTGCCGGGAAAATGGAAGCATCATTAAATGAACATCTCAGTCCGAGTGTTTCTTAGCAGCAGTGTGTGAGCGGGGGTGGGGGTGGGGCAGGGAAGGGGAGGCCAGGCAGGCAGATGCATCCAGCCCCTGCCCCGCCCCCGGCCTCCCCCTAGTCCCCACATCATGGGGGGCACCTGCAGGGGTGGGGTTCCACCGCCAGCTCTGGCCCCTCCCAGCACAGTGCTCTCTGTGTCTAGACCCGGGCAGGATCCCCTTCACCAGGCGAACTCTGCTAGGCTGCCCAGGGTTCACACAGCAGCCATGTGAACACAGAGCGGGGACACCTGCGACCCCAGGCTGCAGCCGAAGGGGCCTGGCCTGTGCCCTGGGCCGTGTGCTCCGGATCAGTCCTCCGCCCCCGGCCCGCCTTCTCCCACCCCCGCGGAAGCCTCCGTGCCCCTGCAGTTGCCCCCCCCCCCCACGTGGGCTCCCGTCCCATGGTTTAAGTATCAGGTGTGGGCCGCGGCCCACCTCTCTCCGGTGCTCCTGACCCCTGCGCCCGCCTGGGCTTCCTGATGCCCCGGTGCACGTGAAGAAGGCATCTCGAACTTGCAGCGCCAGGCTGGGCTCCGCTGGCCCTCTGTGGGTTCCCGCCACTGTGCCTTCCCGGAAGTGCTGCGCCATTCCTGGGGCCGATCCAGCCAGGAGCTCTGCGGCCCCCGGCACAGTGTTGGCCCCACTCCCCCTCCACCCTGGGCACTGGTCCGGAGACAGCCCTGGGCCCCCTTTCCAGTCCCCCATGTCCGCACGGGCAAGCGGAGGGGCCCGTGTCATTCGCGGCGGGAGTGGGCTTCCTCTTTCAGCTGCTCCCCGGGACTTTGCAGCCTCTAGGAAGGAGGGGTCAAGGGGGCTGGACCAGCTGAGAAGTGAAGGCACCGCCCTCACAAGCACCCTCGCTGGGCTGTGGCAGGAAAGAGCCCGACTCCCACATCACCTCCCCTCCTCTCCTCGCCCACCTTCGCGGGAATCCCAGCAGCTTCACCCTCAGGAGCCACCCAGAACCCCACTCCCTGTCTCCAACCTGGCCTCCACCCTCTCTTGCCCGGGTGACCACCGTGGTCCCCGGACTGGCCTCCTTGCCTCCACCCTCTGACCGTCGGTTCTCAACACAGCAGCTGGAGGTCCTTTAAAAACAGAAGTCAGACCTGGGGCGCACGGCTGGCTCAGTGGACAGAGCAGGCAACTCTTGATCTCAGGGCTGTGAGTTCAAGCCCCATGGTGGGCACAGAGCTTACTTTAAAAAAAAAAAAAAAAAAGATGCATCGCCTCTAGAGGCTCCTCTGTCAAGTCATGTCTTTGGGACACCCACATGTCCTGCTCCCCTCCAGGCTCAGCTTCGGGCACACTGCTCCCCCTCTGCTCCCTTTGCGCGGCCTTCCCTGCCTGGCGTGCCCCTCTGTAGATTTATATCCACATGACTCACTCCCTTGTCTCCTTCCAAGTTTCTTCAAATGTCACATCCCGAAGAAGTCAGTCCTAACCCACCCTACTGCACAGCGCGCTTGCCCTCACCACACATTCTGCACCTCTTTGTAGGGGAGGGGAGGCATCTTGCCTCACAGTGCTCTCCATCTCCTAGTATACCATGATATTTATTCATTATTTGTATTATGAGCAAGAAAAGTGTCAAGGACATGGGATCTGACATCTCAGGGAAGAAAGGCTTTGAGAGGTGAGCCTGATGTCGTCACCAGCTCCCCATCAGGTGTTGGTAACTGTGGCCAAGAGGCTGAGAGCTGAAGAGGGCACCCAGTGGCCTCCTGGGTGTTTGGTATCTGCCAAGGAGGAAGGGAAGGGGCTTGGCTTGGGGGTCTAAGGGGCTAGAAGTAAGGAGTGAGGACAGGGGAACCAAGCCAGTCCTCACAGAGACTGGAGTCTGGCCTCAGGAAGCCCAATCCTTCCCCTCACTGCCCCAAGAGCAGAAGAAATCCCTCTGCACCGGGGCCAAACACAGCTCAATGCAGTCTAGACCTGGCCATGCCATGTTTTGGCACATTATCTGTGGTTGTTTTCAAGCTGCGCTTCACCCGAATGCCATGGAAAGCCTGAAAGTAAAAACAGTGGTGGAGTTCCACCACTCAAACACCACGGAGATCCACCACTCAAACACCACGGTGAGGAGCCGGTGCAGCTACCACTAGGAGATGGAGAATTGTAGGGCAAGAGGTGCTGGCAAAGAAGGCCGTTTCATAAAGACGAAGGATCAGTTTAGTGGAAGACACACAGCTCTAAATGTGTACGTGCCCGCTAACAGAGCCTCAGAATTCATAAAGCAAAAATGAGCCAGCTAGATGAGAAGGACACGGCGCACCGTGGCAGATCTTAGCAATCCTCTAGGGAACCGACAGAGCAAGGAAGAAAGAATTGGTAAGGATACAGGAGACTAGAAAGACGATGCATGGACGCAACCCAAGTGATAAAGATCAAGTCTGCATCCAACAACTTCCTTCTCTGTACTCCAACAGACAGAGCTCTTACCAAAACTGTCCGCACACTGGCCACAGAGCAAACCTCAGTCAAACCTCAGAGTTGAAATGACACAGAACGAGTTTTCTGACCGTAGGTGAGTCAAGTCAAAGAAACCACAAACCAAGAAGATAATAAGAAAAGCAGTGCAGTGCAAAACAACCCACAGTTCACAGAGACCACCAAGGAAATTAGGAAATTATTCTGAATAACAAACTACGATAAACCAAGACCTCACGTTGCTTGGGGGGAAATTCAGTCTTTGCTGCATGGGCTTGGAAGGAAAAAGCCAACCATCGACAGCCTAAGAACACCTCCTGAGAAGTCAGAGAAAGGAAAGATAATTCCGTCTAAAGGAGAGGAAGGGACGTAGAGGAATTCGGAAAAGGTCAAGGCCAGTGCCCCCTCGCCTGCCCCCTGCTAGAGGGCACACCCCACAGGGCAGGCTGTTGGGTCTGTTGGGTTCACAGTTCTGCCCAGCACAGACCCAACAGGAACTTCAAGGATTTGTCTGTGCTATCACTTGTTTCCTGAAAGGATGGTGGGTCAGAAGCAGGTTCCATCAGAGGGCATGAGTTCCGTGGGCCTTGGGGAGGGGGTCCAGGTGGGGTGACACCAGAGATTCCCCCCCCCAGCTGCCCCTATAACCCACAGCCATCCAGGGAAGGGACCACACCAGAAACTCAGGGTGTCTGCCCATCCTGCCCACAGCGGGCTTTGGGACGCTCCTCCTGGTTGTGGCGGCCAGTCCTGCCCAGGCTGGGAAGTCAGGCCTGCCCCTGATGGGAGCCTCACCTCTGCCCATTTCCACAGGTTTCCTGGCTTCCCTGCCTGCCCCACTCTCTGGACACCAACCCCTCTTCCCAACTGCTGAACACCTTACTTGCAAAATACATAGTTCAGTAATTTACAGCCACTGCCCCAGAGCAATTCCTAATAACTGCTTCAGACAAAAATACCTTTTTTGGTGGGTGGAGGAGGCCAGAGCCTCGATAGAAAGGCCCGTCTTCCCCTGTGTGGTCCTGGCCACAGCCCTGGGAGCCCAGCTGAGGGCCATGAACAGCCAGCTCCCCTCCCAGGGAGGGGGCGGAGCCGGTGCCCGCCGCCCCTCCCCTCAAGGGGCACCCCCTCCCCTGGGGGCCAGCCACCTGCCCTTCTCTGGACTTAGGAACGCATCCGAAGGCCAGCCCGGAGCTCCGAACAGCGGGCAGACGCGGGGAGCTGCAGGGACACGGCAGCCCCACAGGGAGGAAGCAGGCCTGGGAGCTCGGTGGAGACCAGGACCGCCCTCCTCACCTCAAGCCCCAGAACTGGGCGCCCCAGGCACACAGACTAGACAGCCACGAGACCTTCTCCCCAGTCATGTCACAGGACGAGCCAGCCCCATGAGGAGGGGACACAGATAGGGCTCATATAGGCTGCCTGGGTGCCGGACCGGGGCCCACGCACGCAGGGAGGGGCCAGGCCAGAGGGACTGGCGTGTATCCCCGCCGCACCAGCTCCTGCACCGGACAGAGAAGACGCTTTCATGCAGGTGAGGCGATGGAAGCCGGACGCGCCCCGAGACAGGACAACAGTGACGGGAAAGGCCCCACAGGTGAGCGTCCGACAGGCTGCCTCAGCCCTCGTGGGTCGGTGGGGCTTGGCCTCCCTGCAGGGACACGCCGAGACGCCCCACGTGAGCCGGAGGGCCTCCGCAGCAGGCGTGACAGAGTGCTGGCAGAGGAGGGGGAGGCAGGTCCTTGAGAGGGAGCCCCCTCGGCCCCCCTCCCCCGACTCTCAGGCCCCCCCCCTCTCTCCCTCCTCCTCCCGGCAGGGCCTGTCCAGCGCCCACTCCTTGGGGGCTCCTGCCTGTCGCGCTTTCGGTGGCGGGTCCTCAAGTGGGAGAAGGAAAACGAGGGTCTCCTGGAGGGCTTGCCGTCTCCGGCCATCGGGGGAGCACAGCCGGGGCAGCTAGAGAGGAAGGGGAAGGGCTCCCGAGCTCCTTCTGGGGGTGCGGCGGGCCAGCTGGGGCGCCGTTCTCTGTGCTGGGGGACTGGGACCCAACCCCAGGCCCCGCAGCAGGGAGGGGGCACAGGGAGTCAGCCCGAGAGCAGAGCTGGGCCGGGGACACCCCACGCCTGGCCTCCAGCCCAGGAGAGAGAGACAAGGCCGGGCGAAACAAAGTATCAAAACCACCTCTTTACTGTTCAAATGCAGCCGCGGCGCAATAACGTCGGGATGGCCCAGCCCAGGGTGGAGGGACGGAAGGGCGCCGCGGGGCCGGGCCGGGCTCCACCTGGCACCAGGTGCCCTCCGCCCGGCCGCTGTCTCCCATCCGGGCTGCGGGTCACTTGGTGCTGGGCAGCGGCCACCCGCGCTGCTCCAGCAGCTCTTCCAGGTGCTCGGCCCGCTTCACCGCCGCCTGCAACGCCGCCCGCTGTCAGGCCTGGGCCGCCCCCTCCGCGCCCCCCGCAGGCCCGGCCTCGGGGACCCACCTGGTGCTGTTTTCGGAGGCCAAGCACGGCCTCCTCCTTCTTCGCCAGGGCCGCCTTCACCCTGCAGGGGAGCGCACAGTGGGCCTTGGGGCAGCTCCCCCCAGACCCCGCGGCCAGCGTGAGGCTGAGGCCAGCAGGGGGGCCAGGAGGGGCCTCCATCCCGGAAGAGTTGGCAGGTGGCTGTGCCGCCCACCCCATCCCACTCTGCTGACCGAGGGCACCGGGCCGCCTGTGGGCGTTGGGGACTGGTGGTGACTCCCACGGCTGGGCCCGGGCTGCTGCCCATAGGACCAGCCTGGGTGAGTTAGAGCCAGAGGGAGGCTCCCTGCTGGGATGAGGAAGGACCCTTCCCCCACACCCGCCTCTCCGGAAGGACCCCGGGGTCCTGCAGGGCTGGGGGAGCTGCCCACTGCTGGGTCTCCAGTCTCCTCCTGCACAGGACCCGGGAGCCCCCAGAGACCGCCCAGGGCAGCAGCCACCCCGTCAGCAGCGAGAGGCAGACCCGCAGTCCACTTCCTTTTCTCAGATCCCGGGTCCTCCCGTTGGAACTGCAGGTCCCCCCCCCCACCCCGTCCCCGCGCTCCCCGCGCGCCCACCGCCCACCTCCCGTGCACGTGCTCCAGCTCCGCCTGCTTCTCCCGCGTCAGCTGCTCCAGCTCCAGCCTGTGGCGGGCCCGAAGCTGCCGGCTCTCCTCCTCGGAGGCTGCCAGGCGGTCGGCGAACTCCTGGCGGAGCACCTCGGCCAGGCCGCTCCTCTCGCTGACCAGCTGCTCGTTCACCTGGGCCGGCCGGGGCGGGAGTGAGCCGGCGGCGGGCGGGGGAGGGGGGGTCGAGGGGGTTGCCGGGGCCGCCCGCCCCTCCGCCGCGCTCACCGCCGCCAGGTGCGCCAGCTCCTTCTCCTTCTGCCGCACCAGGCCCCGCAGGCGCCCGCTCTCCCCCTCGGCCTCCCCGAGGCGCCCCTTCAGCTCGCTGCAGCGCTCCTGCAGCGTCCGCTCCGCCCGCTCCAGCTCCGAGAGCTCCGCGGCGTGCTGGTCCCGGAGGCGCTGGACGCTGGCGGGCAGGGGCGGGGTCAGGGGGCTCCGGGGCCTCCAGCCCATGCGCGCGCGCCGCGGGGAGAAGGCTCACCGGCTCTCCGCCGCCCTCTCGCTCTCCTCCCTGGCGCGCGACATGTCAGTCTCCAGCCGGTGGATAACCAGCTCGATCTCCTTATCCCGGCCTCTCCGGACCTCTTCCCTCAGCTCCCGCTCCCGGTTCAGCAGCCACGCTTCCTGGGGGTGCATGGGGCTAGCTGGGGCCGGCGCAGGGTGGGCCCCACGCAACCCGGGTGGCAGGACCCGGGCCGCTGTGGGCCCCCTCAGGACCCAGGTTGGGGCACAGGGGGAGCACCAGCAGCACCGCCCGGGGGTGCCGTCCTGGGGCTGGACACCTCCAGCCTGGGGGTGGGGGTGAGGGCCCAAACGGGGCAGGCTCTGGGAAGGTGATTCTGGAAATTCCCCTCAAGTTTCACACCACACCCTTTGACCCGGCTGCCCTGCATCTGCTAACGCATCCCACAAGTACAGTGACCCCCATGCATGGTTACGGGCCGACAGGGAGGCCGCCCGGCCACTGACGGGCCTCTGTCATCAGGCCCATGCGCATGGCCTCATACGCGACCCTGGGCACCTGTCCACCCTGGCCTCTTCCAGAAACGTCTGGCAGTGCAGGTTGGTGCTTCCTGGGGAAGGCACCGGGAATTAGGAGGGCAGCCACCGGGGG